TCATTCACCTATTTATGTAATAGACTTGTCTTTTTGTCTTTTTATCTTTTTATCGTTGGAATAGATCTAGAAATATATTTTTTCCTTATTGAGTCAAAAATGAATATATTAATTAATTAGCAGCCACTACCTAGGATAGGAGTAGTAGGAATAGCGTATATTTACATAATTTACCTAATGTTACTCTCCTTTTATTTCTTGATTTACCTAATGTTAATTACTTGAAAAAATAATTAATTAATTAACCAGGAGAAATTTAACACAAAATATTGCCATCTAGTTTATTAGTACTAATTTGGATTTGCATGTTGCAAAGCTCGTTTATGAAAATAATCCTTCCAGCAAAAAACTTCATTTCCAACAAATTGAATTTAATCCCTTTAATTTTGGGGTAAATTTCAAACCATCCTACCACAACTCCGATTAATTAATCAATCAATCAACTTGCTACTCCACCTAATGTCAGAAGCCGTGCATCCATGCAAGTCTTTGTGCATAGGGTAGCCAGATGTAAGTTCATTTGAAATAGGATTTGTATAGAATTTGGAAGGATTTTTACATTTAAAATAGGATTTGTATAGAATTTGGAAGGATTTTTACATGTATATATAATCGTCGTATTCGGATCGCCTGGTGTACTTCAATCAAATTCTACAAAAATATGTCACTTACTATTAGCGACACATGCCAGATAATTTTTTCACCAAAAGTTAAAATAAATATAAAGAAATTACTTAGCATTTTGTCTATGTTAGAATTTAAACTTGAGACCTCATGATGCTCGATCAAACCACTTCATTGAAGAATTTTCTTTTTAGAAAAAAAGAAAGAATGAGTAAAACTTATTCATTGTTGAACTTATCCCGATTCAGTTCATTTCAATTTAGAAAAAATTAATTTTGAACGAATAAATAACGTGCTTAGAATTGACACGTAGACATCTACTAGCCGAAAATCACGACTCATCACAATATCATTTCTCCGTATATATATTCATCCATTTAGACACTTTTCTTCACCCATCAACACTTCCTTACACATAAAACCTTTTCAATCATTACAAAAATAGCCACAATGTCCAATCTAGCCTTTCTTCACTAATTTTCACCATTTTCATCTCCACTTCTAACGCCATTTCTCAATGTAACGGCCCTTGTAAAACATGGGACGATTGTGATGGTCAATTAATTTGCATAAACGGAAAATGTAACGATGATCCTAACGTTGGAATCAAAATTTGCAGAAGTAGCCCTCCTTCCGTCCCATCTCCAACTCCAACCAATACATGTCGTCCGTCTGGCACACTCAATTGCAATGGTGTGCACCTAATATACCGTTGCTCGCCACCTGTCACCTCCTCAACGCCTGCTCAACTTACCCTCAACGATTTCAGTGAAGGCGGAGATGGTGGTGGTCCATCATCATGTGATGGGAAATATCATAACAATAATGAAAGAGTAGTAGCATTGTCCACCGGATGGTTTGCAGGACGTTCGAGGTGTGGTAAAATGATACTAATTCATGCTAATAATGGAAAGAATGTTACAGCTAAAGTGGTGGATGAATGTGATTCTACTATGGGTTGTGATGCGGAACATGCTTTTCAAAGTCCATGCAAAAATAACATAGTGGATGGTTCTATTGCTGTGTGGAGAGCTTTAGGGTTAAATACAAATTTAGGTATTGTTCCTGTCACTTGGTCCATGGTTTAGGCCAACATGGAGCGATCGTTACAGTTATGAATTCGATAGAATTCAGTAACTTTATATGTCTCAAATTATATAATTCTTGAATAAGCGTGTCATCTTACATGTAATAAGATGTACATTAGAGTTTCTTAAAAATAATCAACTACGGTATAATTTCAACTAATTATATTTTTCTTTCATCTCAATTTATGTTGTGAAGTTTGACTTCTTCGTTTTTTAATATCATGGCATCACCCCCTTTGAATTTGCGAAACTACTTCCTCCGGTTGATAACCTAAGGAAGTCAACATATCCGCAACATGATTTGTTCCCGTTAAATAGTGCTTGATGAAAAGACTCTTGTCTTCGACCATCTATTTAATCTCTTTACTTTATTTCAATTTGTTTGACTAGTCGCTGAGTTTATAAAAGAAATAAATTCCCTTGAAATTTGTGGACTTAAACAATGCATAGAATTTTAGTGGTTATAGATAATCTTATTAAGATTAAAGTGAAAAGTTTAAAATTATATTAGTATATATTAAATATAAAAATGAGACATTTGGAGGGGAGGGAGGGGGGACAAATTTATAAAAAGGAAAATATAATATGTCATTTAAATTAGAAGGGTGATATAGGGTATTGAATGAATTATGTTAATCACATAATTGTAATTCTTTTTTGTACTAATTAATTATGAGTATAGGTGATATAGGAGCTTTGAATCCTTTCAAATTAGGGAAGAGTAAGCCACTTTTTGTATCTTCCTCAAATTATTATGTACTTTTGAGTTAAGATAAATAAAATGCAGAAAGTTTGCTTGAAAAAAAAAAGGTTAGGTGATATACCTCTGATTTTAACATTTCGCTACTTTAAGTTTATTTTTATTCTTAATAAAATCAGAAAAAATATTTATCTTTCTTTTTTATTATAAATTTCAAAAGTCTTTATGTCTATCTTAAATTATGCACCAATTATAGAAAGTCTAAAAATTGCAAAAATGCAAAAAAGGAGGACGGAGTGCAAGGTCATATTGTACTATCAAAAATGGTATAATACTGAAATGTGTTCTTTAACTTGATATTATTTGGCATTTATGCATTTTAATTTTGAATGTGCAAGGTACATAAATTTATATAGAACTGAACAATTAGACACATATGTCTAACGTGGCGTCTTACGTGTATTATATCATATAAGACACATGTATTACTCCACGCAAAAAATATATGCAGTATACACTTATTTTCTAGTTGTAATACAATGAATATGCACCAGTAACTATTTCAAATTGATACATCTGAAGTACTATATAGCTGGATATTTTGACGGATTGAAATTCATAAGAAAAACACGATAAATGATTTGAGACGAAGATATCAGTATTTTCTACTAAATAAGACTCCCATACCCTTTCTCCAAGAATAAAGATTAACCAGATATAAAATATTTATATTTATCTTATCGTAAAAGTAAACCCAATTATAATAAGTATGTTGTCGTTTTTTCCAAAACAATAAAACACCCAACTATTATATATGATTTAGAAATTAGGATAAACACCCAATAATATGTGAGTTTCTTAACAAATCAATTATATTCAAATCAAACTATGAAAATTGACAATTAAATTTGCAAGACATGGATTGGTTTAAAACGTGGACGACGGTTGTGTATCGGTCGGTTCGGTTCAGTTTATCGGTTTTCAATTTTTAAAAATGCTAAATCGATAATCAAATCAATAAGATATTTGTTATAGGTTTTCGATTTATCGGTTTTGGTCTTTAACGGTTCGGTTTTCGGTTTAACCAATAAGAAAATGCTTTCAAAATAAATATATGACTTGTCCAACAATTTAACGCGAAATAAAAAGAGAAAAATCTAATTACTCATTGAGTGCAAAAATTCTTCTTAGTGTAGTAAAAGTATAGCAAATACTCACAATTCACAACCCTAGTCATTGCCTAATCCTTGCCGCCGTCGTTGCAAACCCTAGACAGCGTCATTCTTAGTTCTTTAGGTTTTTGACGTTGCAAACCTAAAGACTAAAGTAATACTAAAACCTAAAGGGTAAATGCAGAGAGCAAGTCAATTAAGTAATGTTAATTGTGTAGGGTCCTTAAAGTTATATTCTAATATAGTGATTATACTAATATTGTTTGTTCGATATTTATGTATGACTAAAAATTAAAATAGTAAATTATTATATTCTTAATGGGTTATCGGTTAACCCAATAACCCAATATTAAAAAACCAATATCAAACCGATAACTCAATAAAAAAAATTTATAAAACCATTAAATAACCATTAACCCAATAACCGATAACACTTTTTTTAGTTCGTTTTATTGATCGATTCGATTTTTGCACACCCTAGACGACGGTCATGTTGTATTTTTTTATAAGAGAAAAGATCTAGAAATAGATCTAGAAATATATATATATATTGAGTCAAAAATAAATATATTAATTAAATAGCAGCCATTACCTAGGAACTAAAGAGTACTGGTAATAGCATATATATCTCTCTATGGTCAAAAAATTTCCCTCTCTTACTTCTTCTTTTTTTCAAGGTTTTTTTTTTTGGGGGGGGGGGGGGGGGGGGAGAGAGAAATATTGTTAGTGAAGAAATTAATGGATTGTACAAAATTTATTAGTATTGGACTAAATTAGAATTCACGTGTTATAGAGTTTATTTCCGAAAATAACGCTTCTAACAGAAAAATCATTTCCAAAAAATTGGTTTCGACCCTTCTAATTAAAAGTAATTTCGAACCATTCTACCGTAATTCAGATTGATTAATTAATCAATCCAATTGCTAATCCATCTATTAGTCCTAATAATATCAAAAGCCGTGCAACCATGCAAGTCCTTGCATTAAATAGCCAAAGAAAGTCTAATTTTGCTTATACAAAATTTGGAAAGATTTTTATACGTAGATATAATCGTGGTATTCGGGTCGGCTTGTGTGCACCTCGACTAAATTCTACGGAATATATGTCACTTCCCACGAGTAACACATATCAGATAACTTTTTCCACCAAAGTTAAAACAATTATAAAGAAATTGCTTAGTGTTTTGCCTATATTAGAATTAAAACCTGAGATATCATGATGCTCAATCAACCCACTTCATTAAAGAATTTCCTTTTTACAAAAGTAAAAGAACAAGTCATACTATTATTCATTGTTTAACTTATCCCAATTCAGTTCATTTCTCCCTATATATATTCATCCATTTAGACACTTCTCTTCACCCATCAACACTTTCTTACACATATAACCTTTTCAATCATTACAAAAATAGCCACAATGTCCAATCTAGCCTTTCTTTCACTAATTTTCACCATTTTCATCTACACTTATAACGCCATTTCTCTATGTAACGGCCCTTGTAAAACTTGGGACGATTGCGATGGTCAATTAATTTGCATAAACGGAAAATGTAATGATGATCCCAACGGTGGAACCAAAATTTGCCAAAGTAGCCCTCCTTCCGTCCCTTCTCCAACTCCAACCAATACATGTCGTCCGTCTAGCACTGTTAATTGCAACGGTGTACACCCAATATACCGTTGCTCGCCACATGTCACCTCATCAATGCCCGCTCAAGTTACCTTCAACGACTTCAGTAAAGGTGGAGACTGTCACTCCCCGGGCCTACACCCTAGACATGGCTGACACCCGAAGACCATTGCTAGCCCCAAGCAAACCCTTGGCCTGGCTTACCTACCTCAGTGGAAGACAATATTCATACTTATAATGATCAATAATATTTAACTGAACTGAATAATAAAATAACTTAGAATGTTTAAAGGTTAAACATTCAACTTGGCCAAAAGTGGCAACCCAAGTCTTAACAATAAGAAATGATAATGAAAAGACTCAAAGGACTAACATCTGACTGTCTATGAAGCCTCTAAAACAACTGAGATGGATGTTGGGACAACCCCACAACATCCTAATGAACTAACTAGAAAGCAATGAAAATAGATTCTCCGGAATGCAAAGAAGCTCACCAACTGACTCTGAACTGCTCACTAGATCAACGGTGCGTTGGCATGCCGATCCTAGTTACATGTATCTGCATCATAAGACGATGTAGGCCAACTGGCATCAGTACATTGAATGTACGAGTATGCGAGTTGGAATGCTAAAACAACATAGGCTTGAAAGGGAACCTGCTGAAAGAAACACTTACCTTGGATCTTCTCAACTCATGAATACTTAACTGATCTCATTTCAATATAAACCAGTTTAAAACAAATGCAATATAAAGAAAAGTTGTTTAAAAACATGATGTCAACTATGTGTATGTATAAGGATATAACATAACTCTGAAATGTATGTAAAAATACAATAAACTGATGTATATAAAAATACAATAACTTCTGTGATGATACAGTGATATACCTCACGCTGCCAACGCATCCTATACCCAGCCAAAGGTATAGGACCTGAACTACTAAGTGGATCCACTAGTCTATTGTGAAAAGGGTTCATCTAAAAAGTATGACCCTTTTCTACCCATGGTGGCTACATGGTTTTATGGAGACGTGAGTTATCTGAACTCATGCTCACCCCCAATTCAGTGCTTAATACTACTCCCAAAATATACTAGCTCTTATGTTTATTTTTAAAAAAAAAAACACTTCTTCTGTGATTTGAGATTAGTGCTCAAAAACTTATCTCAAAGGCTATCTTGGAAATCAAAGTTTTCCCTCTTGCTTCATTTAGAAAGCGATTACTCTTTTCTGAAAACTAGCCCGAAGGCTCTTTGGAAATCTCAGTTTCCGTTCTTATTTAAATGTGAAAACATTTTAAATCTCTTTGTGAATACTTAGTCCCCGTATACTTTTGAAGAAATGAACTTCAAACTTTACTCTTTACTAAACTTGATCTTTAAGTCTTAAAACAAAGTTAAAAGCATTTGCAAAAGACTCGAAGAACTTCCTAGACTTGGCTCTTGACTTTCCTTGAATTTGAATTTATGGATTCAAGGTTATGATTCATGTTTATGGATGATTTCTAGGTGTTTAGAAGTCATTTAGAGTAGTTAGAATCAATGGAATGTGTTAGGACACTTTAGAATAACATAAATAGGCTAAACGACGAAACACAGGTGAAAAACACCGATCCGGGCGCGTCCCTGGTGCACCGTACCAGGCCTCAATTTACTGGGGCTCATTTTGGGCGCACTGCCCCAGCCTCCTGGCGCTATGGGGGCGTGACGCGCCTGGCCCTCCCCAGGTGCGTCTGACGAGTTTTTCAACTCGTTTTCTGATCCTAAATCGTTTTAAATAGATTCATTTTCTCAATACTTTCTTAGATTCAGATACCCAACACATGTACACTAGAATCTAACTCGAAACAACTCTTAACATTGCTAAAACGTCTCAAGGAAACCCATCAATCACATGTAAGTTCAAGAAAGAAAACAATTCAAGAACACAACTCAAGAACATCAAATTCTAACTCTTTTAGGACGAAAATCGCTAAATTAAACATGCTTGGCGCATGGGTGAACTAACCCAACGCTATGTGATCTTGCATACCTTGTAGAGATCACCCCCGACGAAATCCACAAGCTAATCTTGACTTCCCCTTCTCCTTTCTCTTTTCTCCAAGCCCTAGCGTGAAATTCACTTTTCTAAAACGGACTAAAATTTGATTTGACCCATATTAAACTCCTAAAAATGAATTAAAATAATAGGGCAAGGAAAAGACTAAAATACCCCTTAAAAATCCGGATTGGATATTCTATATTTGAACAGCCCAACTTCCGAAGGGCATAACTTGCTCATACGAACTCGAAATCACTCAAACTTGGCGGCGTTGGAAAGATCATTCCAAGGGATTTCCAACCATATCTGGAATCACACCTAACTCATCCTGAGATAGGAATTATGGTTGTTTGAAGTTGACCAAAAATTCACTTTAACACCTTTACCAAATTTCCAGATTTTTAAATTCTTCCCAAAAATAACTATTTCCAGATTTTAAACTTCATTCTAGTTCTTTCTAGTTGCGAGATGTTACAGGGACGGGGGTGGTCCATCATCATGTGATGGGAAATATCATAACAATAATGAAAGAATAGTAGCATTGTCGATTGGATGGTTCCCGGGACGTTCGAGGTGTGGTAAAATGATATTAATTCGCTCTAATAATGAAAAGACCGTAACGGCTAAAGTGGTGGATGAATGTGATTCTACTATGGGTTGTGATGCAGAACATGCTTTTCAAAGTCCATGCAAAAATAACATAGTGGATGGTTCTATTACTGTGTGGAGAGCTTTAGGGTTGGATACAAATTTGGGTATTGTCCCTGTCACTTGGTCCATGGTTTAGGTCAACGTGGAGCGATCGTTACAGTTATGAATTCGATAGAATTCAGTAACTTTATATAGCTCAAATTATATACTTCTTGAATAAGCGTGTCATCTTACATGTAATAAGATGTGCATTAGCGTTCTTTAAAAATAATCAACTACGGTATAATTTCATACTAATAATATTCTTCTTTCATCTCAATTTATGTTGTGATGTTTGACTCTCTTTTTTTTTAATATCATGGCATCACCCCTTTAAATTTGTGAAACTACTTCCTCCGGTTGAATACAAATTATGAATTTGATAAAATTCCGTAACTTTATAGCATATATTATACTAGACATCGGAGCCTGTGCTAGCACGGGCCCAATATGTATCATTTTTTGTTCCAATTTATGTGACAAAGACAAAATTAAAGAGTTAATCAAACTTTAATATTAATTTAAAGTAGTTTAAATTTTCAATTATTGTTAACTATGGTAAAAAAAAATTATGTCTTTTAACATTCTAAATTGGTAATTATTGTTGTATGATTTGTAATATCTTTTACGCAAATTTGAAATAATAAAGGTTATTTCTTCTTTCTCAATTTATGTGGTACTAATAAAATTTGGAGATTCAATCAAATTTTTTTGTCTTTAAAATATTCTATTGTTAATTACTGTAAATTATTGTACTTTCTAAGTAATTTTCAAATAATATATATTATTTCATTTGTCAAATTTATGTGTCACCGATAAAATTTGAAGAGTTAATCAGATCTTTTACATATTTTTATATCTTTTGAATATTTAAGTAAATAATTATCGTGATTTATAATATTTTATACAATTATTTAAAAAAAATGAAATAACAAACAAAACGAATTCATCATAGGAAATTACCAAAGCATCCTTGAATACATCAATAATGGATCCCACTTTTTGTTTAAAAAAATATGCATATTGGGAGGATATTTTTGTCCAAAGTGGAAATAGAATAAGTATAATTTATTAAAGTCTTTTAAAATTTTAAATTGTTAATTCTTATTGTATGATTTGTAATACTTTTACGCCATTTTCAAATAATAGAGGTCATTTCTTCATTCTCAATTTATGTAGTACTAAAAAAAAATTGAGATTCAATCAATTTTTTTTTGTCTTTGAAATATTTCTAGCTGTTAATTACTGTAATTTACAGTACTTTCTAAGAAATTTTCAAATAATATATATTATTTCATTTGTCCCAATTTATGTGTCACCGGTAAAATTTGAAGAGTCAATCAGATCTTTTATATATTTTTATATCTTTTAAATATTTAAGTAATTAATTATCGTGATTCATAATATTTTATAGAATTATTTAGTATAGTAAAATAAATTAAAAGAAACAAACAAAACGAATTCATCATAGGAAATTACCAAAGCATCCTTCAATACATCAATAATGGGTCCAACTTTTTGTTTTTAAGAAATTGCACATTCGAAGGATATTTTTGTCCAAAGTGGAAATATTGTGTAAAAAATGTGTATTTATTGTGATTTTGAATGTTTTGTGGGGTAATAGGACACACGCAAAGTTAAGGTGTCTTTTTGAAAATCTGGGAGAACTTCAAGTATCACTTAATGTTTTTTCTCAAAATCTAATTTACTTTCATAAACTATGTGTCAGATCAAAATTTAACAAATTCAAAAGGAATGAGTAATAAACAGCTCATACAATGACATATTTATTATTTAACTAAATAATAAATATGTAACTAAAAATCTTGTTAGCTTTTGGTTGAAAGCTAACAAGACATATTTATTATTTAACTAAATAATAAATATATAACTAAAAATCTTGTTAGCTTTTGGTTGAAAGCTAACAAGATAGTTACAATGATAGTTGCATTGTGGCTTATTATATTAAAACTTTATAGCATATATTATATACTTATTGAATAAGCATGTCATCTTACATGTAATAAGATGTACATTGGAGTCACTTAAAAATAATAAATTACGATATAATTCCTAACTTATAGTAATGTTTATGTGGTGATGTTTGACTCTTTTTTTTAATATCATGTCACGATTTTATTACCCCTTGGAATTTGCAAAATTACTTCCTCTAATTTTTAACATAAGGAAGTCATCATAAAATAAGAAGTTTATAATTAAATTAGTATTTTTTTTTAAATATAGAAATGTGATATTTTAAGGGGACAATTTTATAAAAATGAAAATATAATATAATAAGTCATATAAATTAGAAGGGTAGAGTACTAATTAATTATGAGTATATAATATATTGGGGTTGCAAGAATTATGTTAATCACTTAATTGTTATTCTGTTTTAAATCGTTATCAAAATGGGTAAGTGTTTCCTATGGGAAATATTTGTAACTTAATTATCCATCATAAAATCATCGATAAATACGTGATAAATATATATCCATCATATTCTATCATTAATTTTTCTATTGTGATTGTTTCGACCATTAAAATAGTCGATATTTTAAGATGGTGAAAGTAATCCTCCTTACTTATTCCTAGATTCTTTTTTTATCCCTTTGTTTATTCACTTATTTATGTAATAGACTTTTTTTTTAATCTTTTTATAGTTTGGTGAAAAATATCTAGAAATATATTTATCCATTATTGAGTCAAAAATGAATATATTAATTACTTAGTAGCCACTGCCTAGGGGTGTGCATTCGGTTTTTTGGTTTGGTTTTACACTATTCGGTTTGGATTTTCGGTTTTTGGTTTTGTAAAAGTGTAACCCAATCCGATCCAAAATAAATTTGGTTTGGTTTGGTTTTTCTCTATTCGGTTTGGCTTTTTTCGGTTTGGTTATTCGGTTATGTCAATAATTAATAACATATATAACCAAAGTAATAATATTTAATCCCTTAAATATACTTTCTAATATAAATCATAAGTAAAACTTAAAACACAATACTTATAAGTATACCTATTGTAGATGTAATTCAAACATAAAAGGGAGAAGACACAAGTACCCCCTAGACTATGACCGAAATCCCAGAGACACACCTTAACTAAATTAAGGTCCTATTACCCCCTTGAACTCATTTTTTTTGTAATTTTGTACACCTTTTGACTTATGTGGCACACCACGCGACTCCACGCAGTATATATATATATATATAAAATTTGGTTTTTTCGGTTTTTCGGTTTTTATCTTTTAAAATCCAAAACCAAACCAAAAAACCAAACAAAGTAATTTATTAATCCAAAACCAATCCGAAAAACCAAAAAACCAATCCAAATAAAATTTCGGTTTGGTTTGGTTTGGTTATTCGGTTTAATCCGAATAATGCACACCCCTACCACTGCCTAGGAAAAGAGTACCACTCTCTGTGGTCTACTTTTATCCCTTATTACTAGGGATGTGCACTACGGATCAAACCGAATAATCAAATCAAATCAAACCGAATTTTTATTTGGATTGGTTTTTTGGTTTTTCGAATTGGTTTTGGATTAATAAATTACTTTGTTTGGTTTTTTAATTTGGTTTTGGATTTTAAAAAATAAAAATCAAAAAATCAAAAAAAAAAACGAATTATATGTATGTGTGTGTGTATATATATATATAAATGTTTAGGTTTAGAATTAAGTTGGAGTTAACCACTTTTGTCCCTTTTTTGGTTATTACCTTTCATCATGATTACGTTTATATTTTATATTTGAACATCTATAATATGTATAATTATAAGTATTGTGTTTTAAGTTTTACTTATGATTTATATTATAAAGTATATTTAAGAGAATCAATATTATTACTTTGGTTATGTTATTAATTATTGACATAACCGAATAACCAAATTGAAAAAAGGCGAATCGAATAAAGGAAAACCAAACCAAATCAAATTTATTTTGGATCGAATTGGGTTACACTTTTACAAACCAAAAACCGAAAAATCCAAACCGAATAATGAAAAAACAAATCGAAAAACCGAATGCACACCCCTACTTATTACTCTCCTTTTACTTCTTGATTTCCCTAATGTTAATTATTTGAAAAATTAATTAATCAATTAATACAGAATATTTCCATCTAGTTCTTCTTCTTTTTTTCTGATTAAATAGTATAACATGACATGCAACTATTTTTAAAAAACTTGTTCAAGGTTTGGGAAGAAGAAATAAAAAGGAAGAATAATATTATTTGTGAATTAATTAATCGATTATACAAAAGCTATGAGTACTAAGGACTTGCTCACTATATTTAGGGAAAAGAACCCTTATACCTCAAAAAAATAAAATATTTACCCTTAAATGCTTCATTACTTTCATACCCTCTTTTTATTTGAAAATGACATATAATTCACTCGCCGACGTCAGATTGATGTCCGTGCCCACCCTTTTTTTCTCTCTGATACAATCTTAGTATATTACAGTATATGAATATACTTTGATCGCATCAAAGAGTAACTGAGCAGTGTCTTCATTGAAGGATTATTTCTTCCTCCTATCAAAATATAATATACTTTGATGGTATTAATGAATAACTGGACAGTGTTTTCATTGAGGTTTGCTTCAATCCTTCGATGAGATTACTCAATCATCCATGATACAATTACGATATATCTACATATTGTCGTGGTATTATTGAGGTATGTTTCAATTCTTCAATACTATAATTTAAAACAGTATTAAAAAAAAGACATAACTTAGATACAATTTTTTTAAAATTTGTAAAAAGAGGGAAAAAAGACTTATATTTTTCTACTAGTTTAGAGTTTAATAAATAAGATTGTAACTTTAATAATTTTCTTTTAATTGTTTCTTATTTGTTTCTTAAAAAAGAGTTAAATCCTATATGATACCGATAACTATAAGGTATCAATATATAGATGGAGCATCACAGAGGATTAAACTCAATTTATATGATATCAATATACCAACGGAGTATCACAAAGAATATATTTTCTACTAATTTAGAGTTTAATAAATAAGATTGTGACTTTAATAATTTTCTCTTAATTGTTTCTTATTTATTTCTTAAATAAAGGGTACAATCCTATACGATAC